CTTTCAACTTAAAAAGCAAACAACCAGGCAAATATTTGACACAAAAATGGACTATTCAACGATTCTGGCATGGTGACGTTAAGTCCTATTTTGTATCCTTATTCACCGTAGGGTGTTACTGTGTGAATGCAAATACAAGCTCCAGTTTAGACAGAGGGAAAAAAGATTGGTATTTGTGAAATCAACTATAAAACCTATAAAGAGGGACCAAGAGCTGAACCATGTGTAAGTGAAGAATTTTGGGCATTTGAAAGTATCTAAAATGGAATTAAAATGAGATTTTGAAAGGAGGATTGAGTTGAACTTACAGTGTGATCCCAGAGTGGGCAGGAGTTGGTAGAGAGCAAAGAAGGCTAAATGATAGAAGAAGGAATTTGGTGGTTTATTATTCAGGGAGAGGAACCCAAAGCCATGGAGAACTTCATCAGTGGTGTGTGGCTGCTGGAGCCCTGGAGAAGTGCTGGAGTTTCAGACTATCAAATGCTAGCATCATATCCACTAATTTTCTTCCAGAATGTGTCCATGATATACCTTCTGTGCAGCCTTTGGTTTCTGGGCAGCTTGTCTGCATTAGCAGTTTCTGACCAACCTCTTTCTTATGCTGCTGGATAGTCTAATGGGTGAATTTCTCATGAAAAACAAGTACATTAACATTCTGACTCCTGGGAGAGCATTACAAGTGCATCTTTCCTAAGCAGGTCATTCCAGGAAAGACTGGCAGAGTTAAGCTGATGAAGCTGCCAAGACACGTTCCTGATTCTAAATGCTACCTTTTGCTGGTCTCCTTCTCAACTTGTAACTATTGAAAATATTAAAGGCGTTTAAAGCTTGTATTGGAATCAAATGAGAACTCATGGACATATGTAATCCACCATTATCAGAAAGTATGCTTTTTTAAAAATTTTTTTTAAAGATTTATTTTTATTATTTTTTATTGGAAAGGCGGATGTACAGAGAGGAGAGACAGAGAGGAAGATCTTCCGTCCGATGATTCACTCCCCAAGTGAGCACAACGGCCGATGCTATGCTGATCCGAAGCCAGGAGCCTCTTCCGGGTCTCCCACGCTGGTGCAGGGTCCCAAAGCTTTGGGCCGTCCTTGACTGCTTTCCTGGGCCACGGGCAGGGAGCTGGAAGGGATGCAGGGCTGCCGGGATTAGAACCAGCGCCTATATGGGATCCCGGGCGTCACCGCGCCGGGCCCAGAAAGTATGCTTTTAATTACTGCACCGTTTTGCCCCAGTTTTTACTTACAAACACATTAGAACAGGTTTTGGTGATCTGAAGCATTTTTCTAGAGCAGATTTTCATATTTTTTTTCATATGACCAGTATGTTTAGTGGTCTGGTGTTCATGTTCAAGAATGTAAATATTTTAAACTAAAAATACCTTATAGAATAGGAAGAATATTGGCTATTGGGGATCCTTTCTCCATGAATGTTGGATTCCCATTTCACAATGGTAACACTAAATCACCTTTTATTTCTGAGCTGGAATGGATACTATAGGAGAGATTGTTGTTTTTCAAGTGTACTGCAAGGGGAAGAGTGGGTTCATTCTCATTCCGGATGCTTTCCATCCCCAATGGGAATAACAAAAAATTTTTATGAGCCAGGTTCAGGAAGGACACAAGGTAGGAAGTACACAGCAAGAGACTCACATGAAAGCACAGAAGAAAGTGGATCTCCTGAGAGCTGGAACTGGCCCAATGAACAAGAGCCAAGGCTTGACTCCTGTGAAAGTGACCATAAAACCCACAAGTGAGTAACTGCAACTTTTCAAACAAAAGAAAAGAGTTTTGAGATGAGAAATACTAGAGAGTACTGGGGTTTTCTCTTCTCTCTCTAGTTCAGAGTGCATGATCTAATGTCCTTCCACAACTACCCCTAAGCACAATCAAAAGGAAAATAAATTTCAACATCATTTTCTTACTGCTGCTATTGGCCTTTGAGAAAATAAATTGATTGTCCACTATGTTATAGAATATACAGTACAGAGTGACAATGACCAGGAAGGTGTATTTGAGAGTAAAGAATGCTTCCTCTAAAACATATACTTTATTATTTCTTACTACTCTATTAGCAAATCTGTTAGGTTAGTAATTTTGGAAACCAAAATACACAGTCAGTTAAGGATTTAATCTTGGTATATAAACTGTGATGTCTCTTGCATCTAGTAAAGTGTCTGGAATAGAGTAGACAGTCAATACATTTTTGAATGGGCTTTTGAACCCAGAGAAGATAATACTACAGTGACAATATGGATTATCTGTAAATGTCTGCTTTCTAGTTCAACTCCTATCTTAGTGTACTTTGTGCTGCTGCGAAACAATACCTAAGGCTGGGTAATGTATACAGAACAGAGATTTATTTTCTCAAAGTGTTAGAGACTAGACAGCCCAAAGTTGAGACATCCACACGTAGTGAGACCCTTCTTACTGCCTCATCCCATGGCACAAGGCAAAAATAAGGCTGCAAAAAGACACAAGTGAGAGAAGGAATTAGGAGGAGACTGGAGAGGTTGTGTGGCAAGGGGGTGTGGTTACTGAAGGGAGAGGCTGAACTTTTTTGTATGACAGACTTGCTGAGGGTGTATCGAGGTCATTCTTCTGATAATGCCATTAATCCATTCCTGAAGGCAGAGCCTTCTGTCTTAGTCATCTTGTATAGGTCACATCACACAACACTGTTGCTTTGGGAAGTAACTTTCCATTACATGCGCTTTGCAAGACACAGATCGTAACACATCCTGAAAGTTGGCTTAGTTGGCTTCCTGCCTAGGAGAAAAAGGTGGTCCACACAGGGCAGCTGGGGGTCTACTCAAGCTGTTTCCTTATTCTGAGAATGAAGGCACTCTTCCTGGTCAAGAATCTCAGTGTTATCAAAAGCCACTTCCACAGTGACTACCTTACGAATCAAATTTGAATTTATATCCTATTTGGCCCTGCACATTCACTGTGAGTAATAGTAATTGGCATAATGACATTAGGAAAGTTCATCTGTAGCTGTTGATACTTTCTCTGCTCTTTCCCTTCATTGTCATTTCTTGCTTTGAAACCTTGTACTCTACTGCCCTTCCTTCCTGGCCTGGTCTTACCTGGTCTTGACATTCTCGAATCCTCCCCTCAACCACTATTAAAAAGTCTGTTATATGACAGCATATCAAGATTGAAGGTGGTAAATGATGTATATCTTACAACTAAAGACATGGAAGATAGCAGTGGACAGAAAACTGATTTGCTAAGCATATGACCACATTTATACAAGGAGTTCCAGTACCAATTGACTTTGTGAACTTCAATTTCTCCTGTGCTACATTTTTCTGATCTATAAAATGTGGGGCTTTATCTGGGTCAAGGTTTCTCTAAGTCTGTATGTATATTCTGTAATTCTGGACCTGGACATGTTTTTTTAAAAAATAAGCTCTAGGATTATATACATTTGAGAATTGGTATATATAGCACCCCTGCTTGAATATGGGAAAGTTAAAGGTTTCTCTAATATATCTTAAAGAAACACTTTCTCTTTATTGGAAATTGTGTAGGGAGGAAGGGTTGCATCTGGGTTGTTCTCCAGATAATTCTAAGAAGGAGTTTCGGTTTAACTTTCTGGGGAGCTTGGTTTCAATTACATAGCCCCTTTTCTCCAGTGATAGCAGCCACGGGCACAAAGATAAGTAGGCCAAGATGTTTCTCTCTCAGGCAACAAGGAAGAAATTAGGGAGAGATATGAACAATTGTACTAAAGAGTGACAGTTGAGACCATTTCAGATTATAATGGATAGGAGAAATGAGAAATCATTTGTTCTGGAGTTTGAACAGGAGATGAGGAAGGAGGAGCACTCCAGAGGTGCAGCAGCATTTGTTTTCATTTTCTCGGATGAAACAGCACAGACCCCTGACAATGTTAGTGATGACTGAAAGTGTGAAATCATTCTTTGTGAAACTTATCTCAATACGGCCTTTGAGACTAAATGCTGTTATTGATAATGCATTTAAAATATACCTCTGTGAAAATTAGAAAAAAAAATTCTGTTGGAAGAAACATGCTTGCTCATTTTGTAGAATTTTTGACAAGTTTGTAAGAAGTATTTTTCCTAAGGATCTTTAAGAGTAGAGAGGGTTTTTTTTTATTTTGGGAGGAAGTAGAGCTCCTTTGGGGAGGCAGAATATGTGCCACGGTGTGCTCCAGGTTGTTTACACAAAGCAGTCCACACCCTCCTCACTGGGTCAAAGAATTTTGCTTGTACCTGGGACAGCAGTCTTCTATCAGCACTGGAAACAAACTGCCCAGCCCACACCCACTGATCCATTTTGGACTTTTGTTTTGTACAAAAGGACTCAGAATTCAGAAACTGAGTTTGTAGCTATGCATTGTTACCAGAACTAGTTCATCAGAAGGAAGGAAATACAATGTTCCTTCAAACACGTAAAGCTATGAAATCGACTACCAAGCTGTGAAATGAACACAGCGGGGGTATCAGAACCAGGCTGCTGAGAACATTTTTCCTTTTATATCATAAAGAAATAAAGATAAAAACATAATGGTCTTATCCTGAAAAGCAAACATGCCTCCCCTAGCCACTTCTACACAGCTGTGGTGCATTTAAGGTAGCTCTGAGGAATTGTTTTGAAATAAATTGGAAACCCTGAAAGGCACGTATATGTTCTGGTTGATTGACTGTTCCGATGTTAATGATAAAGCTCGATCTACGCCTTGAGATTGGGCAGATTTCTAAATGCATTTTAGGATCCTTGGAAGAACTACCACGTCCCTGAGAAAATGTAGTGCAAAATGAGTCAAGATGCAAAGTACAGCAAGTAGTACAACCTCCTTATAGAGTGGAGTCAGAGGGCAGGGCAGTCAGGCTGTAGTTTCAGTAGTTCCAACCACCTTCTATCTGCCTGTGCCATTCTCTGCCTTGATCCGGTGCCACTCCCTTAACTTGATATGTCAGTTTGCAGGAGGCCGGTTTTCAGAAAGGATCATAAATAACCTGGCCCAGTGCCCTAGAGTCATGACAAGCAGAAAGAACGCACTTGTCTGCAGATACTGTTGGTGATATTTAAATGTGTGGGTTAATGTTTTATCCACTTCAGCTTCTTTGCTTTGTATTTCTTCTCTGAAGCTGTGGGCATAGGAATCTGCAGCCAAATTACTCCGGAGCGGATTGCACGACAATCCTATAACAAATCACTACATTCCTGGCATCTGGATTCCTGATCTTTTTGCAGAATGGCAGGTGTGAGTGGTTGTCTAAAATATTCTATGTTTATCTTCAACTTCTTATTCTGGGTAAGTGTTTCCCTTTTAATTATCAATTTGATGCAAGAAAGGGGATCTTGATATCATAAACAGGAACAAACTGCATTGGAGAGTAGAAGGAACAGGAAAATGTATTTTCCGTTGACTTGTTTGGATTTGTTTGTTCTTTCTTTGGTTATTTCAGTAATTGAAAATGAGCCCATGACTCAAAAAGTGCAGTTACATTCTGTCAGGGTAAACATTTCATAAATGTTTTGATATTGTTGTAAAAACAAGCACAGAGGAAAACTGCCTCCTTAATTAGAGGACAATTATTCTTAGTTGTATATCAATCAGGTTTCCCTGGTTTAAGTCCCCTGTGGGAAAAACATGGTTTGATTCCATCGCTTCACATCTGAATTAGAAACAGGTGAATAGCGAGGCATAGAATGATAAAGACATGAGAAAAAGATCATTTTCTGAGTCCAAAGAGGGGGAAAATAATTTGTCAAAAAAAAAAAAAAAACCCTCAAGAAGGAAACAATAGAATTTTATCATAAAACTAAGCTTGTGAATGTAAATTGACATTTTGGAGTTAGGGTTTTCATGTCATCACCCCACCTTTAATAAACTTGTAAGTAGCATCTAATATTGTGAAATGGACAAAATGCAGAAGGCACGTTGGGGCAGATCATTAAAAATAACGGATTATGCAGTACAAGGAAGATAACTCCATTTTTTTGTGCTTGTTGTCTGTATGCTCTGTACTCCACTGCATTCAGTAAGCAAAGAGCTAGTATCTACATGTTGCTGATTTCTGCCCAGGTAAAAAATTCTTTAAAAAGCGCCTTTTCAAAAATATCTCTAACTTTTTGCTTATCAAGTTTCAAATTGATGAGTTATTTTTGTGTTGTCGTTCAAAAGTGATGAAATAGTATTTATCCTAGTTATTTACCTGTCGTATCCTTACCAAATGATGTATCTGTTACAATATGTACACTGGTTGATGAATTATTTACTCCATGTTTTGAATAATAAAGATAGGCCAAAAATGATGTACTTAGTTTAAGTTTAGTGCATAAATAGATTTACTGTACAGGATGACTTTCCACTCAGTGATCAACAGTCCTAACGTGCACAGATGCTGTATTAAAGGGAAAATGAGTAAATGCATAAATACAATGAAAAGCTTGTCACTTGTGCTTTCTGTTTTTACAAGAAAAAACTTGATTGCACTAATTTTCATTAAGTAGTCCTGCCTTGTACATTTTCTCCTTGTAATAGCTAAATGGATTAAGCATTCTGAGTGTAACATAAAGAATGAAATGTCTTTGTTATGACTTTCTTCCTAGTTTGTTACTATGAATAACTGAAAATTCAGAGAAGATAGAATAATCAATTCCATCAGTTAGCCCTACAGCCATAAAAATAGGGCCAGTCATCTTCCATTCATACTTTTAGGAAATTCCAGATACATAATTTTATCTATAAATATTTTATTGTTGATCTCCAAAAGATAATTTCTTTTAAAATGTAAACACACTATCCCTTTAAGTCTTTAAAAATTTATTAATAATTTCATGGTCCGTGATCAAATATTCATACAGGGTTCAGATGTCTAGTTGCCTCTTAAATATTTCTGTGTGAATCAGGATCCAGATGAAGTCAGCACTCTGATATTATTTGGCATATCTTTTAGGTCAATTTTATCTGTAAAACTTCCTCCAATTTTTTTTTTCTTAGATTTTAAGTGTTGCTGTATGTGTCTTATCATGGTTTTGAGTCTGGATTTTGCCATTTTGCAGGTGTAACATAACATGCTCTCACATCCTTTATATTAATTGTCTGTGGCTCATGGTGGTTTCAGAGTTTGCTTTGGTTTGCTTTTCTGGAAGACTACTTGTGAAGGATGCTGTGCTTTTTTCATCCGAAGGCACATAGGATTTGATTGTTTTGTTTTTTGATAAGTAGCCATTGATGCTTATGTACTACGCAAATTATTACTTGGTTAAGAGATTAAAATGGGTAATTTTTCTTCCTGTACTAGTATGAGCAAGAAAACTTTCAATAAGAAAGTAGTTTCTATTTTCTGTTTAGTTATCACTTAGTTTTTATTTTTGAAACAGGTAACATCAGAACTTTTTTCTTAGCTTCTTCTTTTCAAATTTCAAAATGATGAATTACCCTTTTTTGTATCATTCCAAGGTGATAAGCTAGTGTTTCTCTAAGTATGTTATATGAAATAACAGTTGAACTTGTTAATTTTACTGATGTGCAATTTACTCTACCTTTGCCTAGCACAATTTCTTCAGGTTGGCTTTTGAGACCTTTTGCCATAATTCTAAAAACTTTGTCGGTCCATTTGCTATTTGCTAAAACAAATCATTCCCTACTCTTGCCTACCTTCTACCCAGACATGGAATCAATAATTTCTGCAAGAATATTTTGTATTTGTCTCTAAATTCTTTGTCAAAGTATTCACATACTAACAAGTGCAGGATCCCTATTATTAAGATGTCCTAAAGAATACAAACTGGTAGGAATCTTCAAATCATTAACAACTTTAAAGATTTTTTAAAAAGGTTTATTTATTTTTATTGGAAAGACAGATATACAGAGAGGAAGATCTTCTGTCCAATGATTCACTCCCCAAGTGGCCGCAATGGCTGGAGCTGAGCCAACCTGAAGCCAGGAGCCAGGAGCCAGGAGCCAGGAGCCTTTTCCGTGTTTCCTACGCAGGTGCAGGGTCCCAAGGCTTTGGGCCATCCTCAACTGCTTTCCCAGGCCATAAGCAGGGAGCTGCATGGGAAGTGGAGTCACTGGGATTAGAACCTGCACCCATATGGGATCCCGATGTATGCAAGGAGAAGATTTTAGCTGCTATGCTATCATGCTGGGCCCTAAAGATTTTTTTGTATACATAAAAGTAGCATGCAAAGAACTGTTTAGAACAGATCTGATTTTTTTTAAAAAAAACACTCCTTTTCCTTAATAGCAGAGGGATAGAGAAAGGGAGATCTTCCACTTACAGGTTTACTCCCCAAATATCTGTTAACTACCAGGGCTGGGCCCAGGCGGAAGCCAGGAGCCAGCAACTCTGTCTGGGTCTTACATATGACTGGTAGTAACGCAAGCTCTTGGGCCATATATTTTTTTCTCAGTTTCATAATAATAGGAAGATAGTCTGGAAACAAAGCAGCTGGAACTCAAATTAGTGCTCTTGAGCTGGGATATGAGCTTCCCAATTGATGGCTTAATCCACTGTGCCATGACACTCTCCCGTCTATGTTACAGATTCAGGACAATACCAGAGTACTTCAAAAAGCTCATGGAAAAGTGGAATTTATAGTATGAGCTTATTTGCATCCCAAAGTGTTTCATAATATGTGGAAATATGTTATGGAAAAATATTCATATATTTCTAAAAATAATTTTGTACCAAAATAAATTCCTCCTTTTAATTTCATTTTCCACAACATTTTTGAAATATTCTTGCATGTTTAGCATTCAAAAGGAGTTGTAGGGCTTTGTACAGTGCTGTACCAGAGATGCTCACTGGTTCCTTGAGAAGTTGTGATTGTGATGACATTAACTTTCTGTGTTTCTCTGCTGACACAAAGTCTTTCCAATAATGTTGATTGTACATAAATATTTCTGATGTCCCTGGGGATTTCTTCCATTAATATATGCAATGGGATCTATAATCTCCATGTAAGAAATCTTGAGATTAAATCATTTGGTTGAGGTAGAAGTTGTAAATGCTACCAGTGGGAACTTCTTAGCCTAAGGTGACATCTGCATTTTAAATCAAAATTTAGGAAGTAGGAAGATTCTCTGAGCTTAGAGTATGTTCCTACCTCCACTCTCCTTTCTGCCCCCAATCTAAGCTCTCAGTTGGAATTTTATAATCCTTCATAGGAAATTGTCATGTTGTCACATTCTTAATGTTTATTTAAGCAAAAATGTTAACAGTCCCACTGATGTGGTTTTCTTGTAGATGTTCATAGCCTTGTGTTTCCAAATGCATTCTTTCTGGTATAACTTGCTAAGCAAAGCCTTTGTAAAGTAGGGCCAGATGTTGAAACATCTCTGTGATATGCATATTGTTACTTAATATAAACATACTGGTTTCTTTTGGGGGAGGTTTTGAGATATGCCACATAAATATGCAGTGGTTTCCGTGTTAGATTTACTAATTGAAGAAAAAGGTATGAAAGTAAAAATGATTCCAGTCCCTTACGGGAGAATTTGATGCAAATTGAAGAATTGGATGTGTTGTGGTAATAATAGACAGGTATAAAATATATTTCCCTTTTTTTTTAATGATTTATTTACTTTTATTGGAAAGGCAGATATACAGAGACAGGGAGAGACAGAAAGGAAGGTCCTTCATCTGACAATTCATTCTCCAAGTGATTGCAATGGCCACAGCTGCACCAATCCGAAGCCAGCAGCCAGGAGCTTCTTCCAGGTCTTCCATGCAGTTGCAGGGTCCCAAGGATTTGGGCCATCCTTGACTGCCTTCCCAGATCACAAGCAGGTTGCTGGATAGGAAGCGGGGTTGCTGGGATTAGAACCAGTGCCCATTTGGGATCCTGGCACATTCAAAGCTAGAACTTTAGCCACTAGGCCATCGTGCCGGGCCCTTCCTTGACTTTTTAAAAAACGAATTAAATGCCCACATTTTTCTCTCCCTCTTTCAGATACATCATGCTGGTGGGCATTATAGGTGCTGAGAGTGTGTTAGGGGTCTGATTGAACAGGGAGTATTTGGTTCATGGACAAAGTGGAGTCATGAACAGTAACAGAAAGATAAGGAGAGGCCATCTCTTAATGAAGGAAAGTAGAGTGAGGTAACACAGTCACTCCCAAATGGGACAAGGTGAGACGAGGCTGAAGTTGTGGAGTCAAACATATCAGCATCTGAGGGTAGTGAATGTATGTAGAAGTATGACGAGAAAGAAGGAAGTAAGAGTTTCCAGAATTAGGAATTCAGTGTTCATCATTGACTTTTATGTGTTACTTGGGTCTCTTAAGTTAGATAGAATAAGATTATATTTTATTCTGTATATTGATGGCCTGACCCAAGGAAAAAGAACTAATTAAGGATTAAATTAGTTAAATGCATGAATTTTTTTAAAGATTTATTTGTTTTTATTGGAAAAGAAGAATTGCAGAGAGAAAGAGACAAAGGGAAACGTCTTCCATCTGCTGATTCACTCCCCAAATGATCGCCCTGGCCAAAGCTGTGCAGATCCGAACCCAGGAGTCACGAAGTTCTTCTGGGTCTCCCTGTGGGTGCAGGATCCCAAGGCAGAGCCATCCTATGCTTTCGCAGCCATAATCAGGGAGCTGGATGGGAAGTGGAGCAGCCAGGACATGTACTGGCAACCTATGGTATGCTGGCACTTTCAGGTGGAGGACTGGCCAGTTGAGCCATTGTGCCAGCCCCAATTCATGAGTTTTGTAAATACAGTGATTGTTCATCATTATGCAATCAACTGGAACTATGACAATCACAAAACACAGTAGGACCCAGTGGTGCAGATCTCAGACTGAATATTAATTCCTTCATCACCAGTTGTGACTCCTTTTGGCAATTGGTAAACTTCTCTGTTTTATTGTTCCTCATCAAAAAATCACAAAATATAGTCATATATATCTACATCATGGATCTGTTTGAGCACCTTGGTGGATGAGCTCAAAATAATAAATACCATATAAGTACCATATAAAATTGAAAACAGAAATTTCAATGACAGCTGTATAATTTTTAAGAGACAGAAAGGTACTAGAATAAGAACATTATGTTTATTGAAGGCTAAAGATAAAGTGTCTACTTAGATAATCAATGAAAGTGTACTTGTAAAAGGAGAATAAAAATAAAAATATCTGCGAAAACACATAATAAACAAAAATTTCTATTAATGTAAAAGTAGTGAGAATTCCAGAAGACTTCGTTAACATTTGTGTAAATTCTCTTTTAGGGAGTTATTAACAAAGAACTTCTAAAATAAGAATTTATCCCAGTTTGCAAAAAAAAAATTAATATTTAATGAGAGGAAATTGGGATGTAAAAAAATGAGAATTTTGAAACTCTAAATTTTTTTTCCCCATTGGCTTACATTTTATTGTATATGTGCATGTGTAAGGTAATTAAATTGCATAGGTTGTTTCGTATCTAGATTAAAGCTTTCTTTTTCCTTGTGTTCGTTATTTTGTGGGAGTTGAATCTGTGGTAGGGATGAATTGAGTACAAGTTGATTTTCTGAATGTGATTGTTATTTCTTTGGATTCCAATTTATTTATTCAAGATGTGTGGGTTTTTGTTTTTGAAGTCTTAAAAGACAATTTGTATACTGTAAAAGGCATACAACTTCTGTTGTTATTCAGCTACTCATTGCAGTTAATAAAATCTCCTGACTCTGTCTCATAAGGAGCCATTAAGGTGCCATTGGGACTGTGACCATGACTCAGCCATGCATAAAAGGCCATGCTCTGAGGACACTGGGTTTTGAAGGACGTGGATGTTTATCAGAGCATGGGAGGCTTACAGTCCTACAAAGTCTGCCAGGCCTGCTATGTCTGGTTCTATCAGCCCTCCTCTCAAAATCTACCTCCAATAAAAGAGCTTCATTTTATTTTTTACTTCACAATATATATCTTTAGAAAAAGAAAGTCTGAAAGAATTTTCCTTACAACAAAGTATAATGTGTTTCACATCTTATGTGTTGGCATTGGTCCAAATTAAATAATCTGGTAGAGTCATTAAAGGAATTTAAGACTTTAAGTACTATTCTTCGTTGTTGTCTTTTTCTTGGTAAGCTTCACCACCTATAGGAGCTTATTTTTCAAGAAGTTTAGTTAGGTTCAAAAATGCTGGTTAGCATGTATCCCAGTTGCTTAACAGCAAATTTGTCAAAGGTACCACTGTTACTTGTTTACCCCAATTTTATTCTCCATCTTAAATCCTGAGTGAATATTTTGTGATTATCAAGTCTTTTCTTCCTTGGTCCAACATATATTCTCAGAGACAAATCCAAGTGCTTCGTATGGATGTTTTATTTTTACATGGTTTGCCTTCTTGAGTCTACAGTCTCCAGAGCACAGTGTTGGAATTGCATCATGGAGAACTGCCTTTTCTCATCTACTGGAGATGACTTCTGGCTCACAGATCCATCAGTGTTCTGCAGATGACAGTTATTCTTATCAAACATATACTTTGCCATGGAATGTTTCAACAATTATTTGTATATTTCATTTATGTTTTTAGGCTGTGATGGTGTAGTTAATTAACATCTGTTATAAACAGATGGATGAAAGTACATGGATTTAGTTTATTTTATTGCTAATTTCACTCTTTTTTTTTTCCTCTGCAGGTGTGTGGTATCTTGATCCTGGCCGTGGCGATATGGGTACGAGTAAGCAAAGATGGTCAAGAGGTAAATATACAAATATAAGCCACTTTGCCCACCCCATAGTTTCTTTCTTTCTTTTTTTTAAAAAAAGATTTATTTACTTGAAGGAGTTACAGAGAGAGAAGCAGAGACAGAAAGACATATTCCTTCTGCTGGTTAACTCCCCACTAGTAACAATGGCAAGAGCTGGGCCAGTCTGAAAACAGGAGTCAGGAGGTCCTTTTGGGTCTCTCATCTCTGTGCAGAGGCCCAAGGACTTGGACTGTCCTCCACTACCTTCCCAGGCCATTAGCATAGAGTAGATCCAAGGTGGAGCAGCCAGGAATCAAACTGGTACCCATATTGGATGTTAGCAATATAGGTGGAGGATTACTGTGAAATGCCTACGTGCCAGCCTGTAGTTCTTTTCTTTCTTCCTTCTCTTCCTTCCTTCCTTCCTTCCTTCCTTCCTTCCTTCCTTCCTTCCTTCCTTCCTTCCTTCCTTTCTTTCTTTCTTTCTTTCTTTCTTTCTTTCTTCCTTTCTTTCTTTCTTCTTTCTTTCTTGCTCCTTCCTTCCTTCATTCCTTCCTTCCTCTCTAAAGATTTATCTTTTTTTTTTTTGCAAAGGCAGATAGGATTTATGGAGAAAAGGAGAGACAGGTGGAAGAAGACGCAGGTGGAAAGGGACCGATACTGAAGCATTCCTCTTTCACTGTTTGTACAATTCCGGTTTGATGGGCCATGTGAAAATGTAGATCATCTTCCCTCCTCAGCATGAGAAATAGCTTTAATAGCACAGAATATTGACAATAATTTAGCTGATTTTAAAATGGTTGGCCTAGAATGAAAAAAAAAGTGATGTTACCTTAAAGAAGAAAATTTGAGTCTGTGCCTTAAAAGCAGCAAGAAACAAACACATTTGATGTTTCCCATGGCAACTAGCACTGGAGTTTACCCCTGGTCATGGGAGGATAGCTCAGCAGTTATCTTGGGATGTCCAGCTTCTTGCTATCAGTGCAAGATGTGCATGACTGGGGGCAAAGAGCTTACGCACATTTCCACATGTCTGCAGGTGAAAATTGAGTGAGTGCTGATGCTGGACTTCAGTGCGTGCAGTGTCGCAAATGTGGGAAGGCTGGGGAGGGAAGGAGCCTATGCAAGTGTGTGCAAAGAGGGGTCTTCTCTCACTTTTAACCAACATTATTCCACCTTGGCAGCATTTCCTGCTTTCTTCATTCTCCTCCTTAAAAGAAATAATTAATTAATTTTTATTGGAAAGGCAGATACACAAAGAGGAGGAGAGACAGAGAAGATTTTCTGTTCTCAGATTCACTCCCCAAGTGGCCACAATGGCTAGAGCTGAGCCAATCGGAAGCCAGAAGCCAGGAGCTTCTTCTGGGTCTCCCACATGGGTGCAGGGTCCCAAGGCTTTGGGCTGTCCTTGACTGCTTTCCTAGATTGCAAGCAGAGTGCTGGATGGGAAGTGGGGACACTGGGACATGAACCAACACACATATGGGATCACAATGCATACAAGGCAAGGACTTTACCCAGTAGGCTACAGCACTGGATCCTCTCCTCTTCTTTTAAGGGGCACATATCACTTCCGAATTATTACTCTTAGTCCTGTGCATTCATTTTCTCAGTTTTGTTTGTGACCTGGGCTTTTGGTACTATGCAGGATCGAGTCGTCTATAACTGCAGTCATTTCATGACATTTTCCTAAATGAAGAGAGCTTCCTGCTTCTCCACAGGGAAAATTTTCATTCCTATTCTCCTCAGGGAAAATTTTGATTCCTATTTGGTATTTTTAAGCTATTCTTATACCACGAATTAAGACAGTACATTTCTTTCTTTCCCTTTTTTCTTTATTTGAGAAGTAGCAAGACAAAGACAGAGAGAAAGCTCTCATTTGCTGATGCACTCCAAATATGCCCTCATTGTGACCATGGCTAAGTCAGTTGTAGCGCTGGAATTAGGCTATGTTGAAATTGAAACTCAGAAATTCAGTCCTGGTCTCTTTAATGAGTAGCAGGGATGGAGTGGTTGGAAAATCACTTACTCCCTCCCGAGATGTGCATTAATTGGAAGCTGGAGTCTGTAGTGGAGCCAGCATTCAAATCTACCACTTGGTTGTGGAATGCAGACAGCCAGCTTCTTTCTGTTTACTTTCCGTGATAGAATTCCTTAGGCTGAGGGGCTTCTCCCTTTACCCTCCTCTTTCTTCTCCCACCACTGTTTTCCCCTATATTATTGTAATATGATAGTCCCTCAGCAGCAGTTAGAAGTCCAGCATTTTGCTGTTTAAGTGTGTCATGGCATTACAGTACGTATAGATAATGGTAGACAGTCAAGCATCCTATTGTCAACATATAGTTACCAGTTTCTTTGGGAGTCCGTCCTTTATTCAGCAGTAGAGATACATTCTGCAGCGCATCTTCACTTCTTGGTGTGCTAGTTTCCATTATACAGTTCCTCTAGATGAATATATCTATACACATGTTTACCTATATATCTATTGATTTTGTATTTTGCATGAAGATTGCCTTACGTTAGGCAGAACATATGATATTTGCTCTTTTGGGATTGGCTTATTTCACTGACCAAAATCTTCTCTAGTTGGGACCATTTTGTTACAAATGGTAAAATCTTATTCTTTTGCATGCCTGAGTAATACTCCATATAATAGATGTACCATAGTCTTTCTTTATCCATTCCTCTTTTGATAGGCATTTGGGTTGTTTCCATGTCTTCCCTATTGTAGATTGTGCTGTTGTAAATATAGGATCACAGGTAACTTTCTTATATACGGAGTTCACTTTAGCTCTTTTCTAAGAAGTGGATAGGTGGGTCATACCGTAGATCAATTTTCAGTTGTCTGAGCACTCTCCATATTGACCTCCATAGTATCTGTACTAACCTATATTCCCACCAACAGTGAATAGACTGCCTTTCTCCCAACCTTCGTGCCAGTGTTAGTAGAGTTCTAAATGTAGGCCAATCTCACAGGAGTAAGGTGGAACCTCAGTGTGGTTTTTATTTGTATTTCCCTAATAGCTAGGAGTTATCTCAGTCATAGAGTTAATTATGTATATTAGGACCATGATTTATGTTCATTAATTTTATATTCTGCTACCCTGCCAAACTCTTACACGTTCCAATTGTGTTTTGATTGAGTCTTTTGGTTCTCCTATGTACAAAATCATGTTGTCTGCAGTAGGGATAATTTTAATTCGTAGTTTCTGATTTGAATTCTTTTAGCTTTTTTCTTGCCTAGTAGCTCTAATGAGGACTTGCAAAACTATGTTGAATAGTGATTATGAAAATGAACATCCTTGTCTAATTCCAGGTCTTAGTGGAAAAGCTTCCAGTTTTTCCTCATTTGGTATGATGATGGCATTAGGTTTTTCATATATTGATTTGATTGTGTTGTAGACTGTTACTACTATGCCTATCTTACTTAGGATTTTTAGCATGAAGTGGTGTTGGATTTTATCAAATGCCTTCTTTGCATCTGTTGAGATGATCCTATGATTTTATTCTTTAATTTGTTGATGTGGTATATAACATTTACTGGTTTGTGAATGTTAAGCCATCCCTGCATGCCAGTGATGAATCCCACTTTGGGTGAATGACCTGTCTGATATTTTGTTGAATTCCTTCAGCTAGTATTTTGTTGAGGGTTTTTGCATCTCTGTTCAGGGATATCAGTCTGTGTCTCTTTCTCTGTTTTGTCTCTGACATTTGTACTAAAGTGATGTTGGTTTCATAGAAAGTGTGGAAGAATCGCCTCCATTTTTATTGTTTTTGAATAGCTTACAGAAGATTGGGGTAGGTTCTTAAAACATTTGCTAGAATTTATCAGCAAAACCATCTGATCCAGGGATTTTTTTGGCGGGGGGGGGGGTGTTAATTACTGATTCAATCCTCATCCTGATCATAGGGCTACTTAGGTTATTAATTACCTTATGATTCAATTTTGGTAGATTGTATTGTTTTGGAGCATACCATATAAAACACTACTGAAGCCAATTAGAAAAGTTGAGAAATCTTTATTAGCCAGCTGGCAAATACCCCCACTCAGAACAGATCTAAGGGCTACAGCCGTGAGCTGTTATTGTAAGGAGCTTTTAAAGGAAAAAAAAACACATTCTGGTGGCCTGCACACTGGCTGGCAAGCAAGCAGGCTAGGGTACAGAAGCTACAATAAGCAGGTTAGATTCAAGATGAGCAATTCTAAAATTGCAGTTACTGTTTAACTTCATGGAAATTGGTTCTACTTCCCATGGGGTTCAGTTTCCAGGACCTGGTTCCTCCTTAAGGGAGTAGCCCAACTGGTGACCACTGGATGATGTACTCTGTAATTTTTCACTCTGTCACAGTATGTACCCTAAAATATATCCATTTTTCTAGATCTTCTGACATGTTGGCATACAGTTTCCGTAACAGTTCCTGATTATTCTATGTGTGTCTGACATATCCATTGTTGTGTCTCTGATTCTGTTGATTCGTATTTTTTTTTCTCCACCATTTTTTTACTACTGACTCAATCATTTGTTCAAGTCAGTGAATGTCTAATTAGTTTTTGTTTTATCATTGTGCACTTAAATGCCTCTATTCACAGCCTTGTGGAAAGAGCAATTAAAAACAAAATTATTTATTCTGTTTCCTAGCCTGAAGTTGAGGAACATTTGTGGAAATTGCTTTCTCTCTCTCAATATCTCTCTCTCCTTCTCCCCTTCTCCTTTATTTCTCTTATATTTTGCTTTCCACTCCTAGAGAACCCCTAGAATCATGGTGACGCTCAGCCACTTCCTCATTCTTTGCCTTTGTTTGGTGATAACCTTTGACAAGGGACAGTATGACAGCTAGCTGATAAGCTCCCAGTACATCAGGATTTATTTATTATTTTATAGTGAAAAATACGCTTTTCTGGAGGTTTGAGAATCCTGTGTTTGATCCCAGGAAGGGTATTTGTAGATGGACAGAGATCCTGTTGTCTAGGTTGGGATGTCTGACTCTGGATCTCATAATGAAACTCAGAGTTTAACAACCACCTACTTTTTAATATGTGTGTGAAGCTTGCATCTTATTTTATTCTATTGTTTTATTTCTAGTTGATACTTCCTCTCTTCCCAGTGTTTCTGGTAAACAAATTTGGTGTTTAGTCTATTAAGAAGTTACACATCTTGAATGTATTAAAGAGAACTGTTGTCTTGAGGGTGTTACTCCTCATCTGGGCATAAGAAGGAATTAATGGAGCTAGGCAGCATCTCTAGTTACATTTAGACACTTGCACCATCAGCCACTTAGCATGAACAAAAACCAGTTATCTGCCAGGACCACATTAACCAGCCTGACTTATATGGAATTAGCTTTATATTTATCTGAAGTCTGTAACAAAGAATCATGACTGAGTAAAGAGTTGAATTATGGTAGCGGAGGAATAGAAGGAGCAGTTTCAGAAGGGAAAACATGGACACAGATAGAAAAGGAGGATGCTGGGGAGGAGGTAACATATTTTTCTGCAAGAGAGTTTCATAGGAAGTTTTTTCTCCTTTGGGATATAAAAACTCAGCTCCATGAGGCAAAGGGAATGGGTAGCCTTTCTTGTCCCAGGAGACTTTCCCCAATCCAAAGAGAATCTCTGTACAGCTTTTAATATTGCATAGTTGGAGCAAACATCTGAACTCAGATTTCTACTCCATTCCTAAATAGTTGTTTTGGGGCTGGCCATGGCACTGTTTTTGCCAGGCAGCCAATCCATGGCTTTCTGGCCAGTCTCTGACAGTGGGTCACCTCACCTGGGCCATTCTTGCAAAGGCACCTTGCAATATGTTGTATAAGTGCTGGCTGTACCAACCAGGTCTCTATCTGTTCTCTGATGATCCAGATGGTGAGTCTTCCATCTTGTTGTTCAACTTAGGGTTTGCATGTACTGGCTGCAATATTTAGTGGTGAGTCAATAAAGATGGCTATTTTGTTTCTTTAAAAAAATTGTTTATTTGAGAGAATGACAGAGAGAGGAGAGACTGATAGAGAGTAAGAGACCCCAAAGCTGATTCATGACTAGCACCACAGTGACTACATGCTAGGAGCTGGGAATTCAGCCAGGTCTCCCGCATGGAAGGTAGGGCCTCATCTGATTGAGCCATCACCTATTGCCTTTTAGAGTCTGCACGAGCAGGAGGCTAGAGTTAGGAGTCAAAACTGAGGGTCAAGTCCAGGCAGTGCAAATGGGATTCAGGCAGCTTAACTGGCCATCTCAGCTGCTAGGCCAAATGCCCACTCCAGGCTGGCTTTTTTAAGCTGCTTTTTTGTCACATGTATTTTGACTCAAATATCATGACTGTTTATTAACAAAACTGATTTCATGGCTGCAATCCTAAAAAGAAAACAAACACAGCAAGCCCCAAAACAAACAAAAATCTTTAGGACATAACCACGCTTTCAAACTATGTAAATTGAAACATTATCTGTAAATACAGACTTTTATAGACAAAAGATGCCATGGATTATCAGAGCCTGGTGCAGAATCTTTTTGCAAAGGGAAAATCTGAGCCCAAGTTGACTATTTTACTATTTCAGAGTTACAAATGTGTGTGTGTGTGTGTGTGTGTGTGTGTGTGTGTGTGTGTTTGTAACAAATTAGGTCTTTACCCAAAACCTGGCTGGGGCCTAAAAATTTGTTTTAATGCATTTCAAACTTCAACACAATCCTTCCTATTGATTGGAGAATAGAGATTCTCTTGATATGAAGTGGGACAAAAAGCTTTGAGCATAAACAAAAAGAGTGCTAGAAGTTATTGCAGTGGCCAGTTTTGCAATTGACACTGCTAGAGAATGTCCCGCATCTGTAATGCAGATTCGGAGAGGCAAAGTAATTGGAGTAGCCTGAGAACTAGTGTTCCACCTGGAACAGACCAGATACAGTATGGAAGAGCGAGATGGGCTGATGTGACACTCATGCATGACACAAGCAATTTCAGTCTTTTCTGGTGGTTTGTTTCTGCACATTTATGGAGGACAAGAGGTAGCGTTGAGGCTAGTTGTTAAGTAGATGTTGAGGAAAAGTGTGTGTGTGTGCTAATAGGACTGAATTACACCACACGGATAGCTCACCTTCCAGAAAAGGCTCAAGAAGTTTTTCTAGAATATCCCATTACTTAACTTCCATACAACACACAGGGAATTCATATGATATACCTGGCTTTGGCCTTTTTTTTATGAAGACAAAAAATATTCTTATTAACTCACAAATGTTCCTCCATGTCCTTTTTCAATCAGTATCTACAATTTACTATCTCTTCTAAGGCAAACACTGTTTTGATTATCATCAATGTAGTATTACCTGTTCTTGAATTACCTATCACTGAGTTCACATATTATTTACTCTTATATACATCAATGTAATTTCAAAATGCATTTAAAACATGTCAATCCATAGTTTGAGAATCATTGGACTTTTAAATATAAAAATTAAATTACAATGATGCACATGCTTTATAATACTACTTAATGTATAAAATACAAAATATATAAACCAACAATCACAACAATAACAAGGAAAGCATCTGTTTTAAGCTTTTGAAAATTGTTTTCAAAAGCCCATTACAGGAGCTGACATGGTAGCCTCGCTGCTCAAGTCCTTGCCTTGCATGCACTGGGATACCATATGGGTGCTGGTTCTAATCCCAGCAGCCCTGCTTCCCATCCAGCTCCCTGCTTCCCATCCAGCTCCCTGCTTGTGATCCGGGAAAGCAATTGAGGATGTCCTAGAGCTTTGGGACTCTGCATCCATGTAGGAGACCCAGAAGAGGCTCCTGGCTCGTGGCTTTGGATCGGCTCAACTCCGACTATTGCAACCACTTGGGGAGTGAATCATTGAACGGAAGATTTTCCTCTCTGCTTTTCTCCTCTCTGTATATTTGACTTTGCAATAAAAACAAATAAATCTTTAAAAAAAAACCTATTGCATCTATCTCATTCAACTTTCAATGTATTGTCTTAGAAAAACTAAGATTTTGTATACATAGAAGCTGTACTTATGCATGGGTTACCAACTGATATTTTAATATATACATATGTAGTGTATAAAATGTTCAATCAAGGAGATCATATTTATTTTCTCAAATATGAAGATTTTTCAGAGGTGAAAGCTGTTCGCAATCTTGTTTTCTGGCTAATTTTTTTTTTCTTTTTTTGTGTGTGTGTGTGAGAGAGAGATATAACTGTTAAGTGAAGGAAGCATGAAGCAGAGGACTTTTTGTTTGTTTGTTTGTTTTGTCATCAACTTGTTTTTATTTCCAGATTCTCAGTAGTGGGGACACTGGCACCAACTCCTATGTTTCTGTGGATCTCTTGATCGCTGTGGGTGCCATCATCATGGTCCTGGGCTTCCTGGGGTGCTGCGGTGCCGTGAAAGAAAGCCGCTGCATGCTTCTCTTGGTGAGTGTTTCAAGCAAGCTTCAATGCTCAATCAGAAGACTCGGAGGGTCATCACCCACCCTCCTTGCCTTTCCAAAGGATTAGCTAAGATTGATCTAATGCCAATATTTGTTAGAGGGCTTGACTGTGGACGAGAGCTTGACTTAGAGTTGACTAAGTTTGCCTAGATTGGAGGATACTGTAAGAAAAGATAAATGGTCATCATTCATCCAATTGTTTATAAGTTATTCATTTGTTAACACCGCTACATACCTCCATGTGTCAGAACCTGTGCTAAATCCTAAACACAATTTAAAGCAATTAGAACCTGGAAGGAAAGATTAATAAGTAAAAAAAGGTAAAGGGTGGGGACAGGTAGGGAATAGTTAGCCAGGGAAAAAAATAAAAAATGATTGTATGGGCAAAGGCATAACGATATCTCTAAAAATGAGGCCCTGACAGTTTAGTGGTATGTTTGGGGAACTGAAAGGCTTTGGAAATGGCTGGAGAATAGGCAGAAGCTGCCTGCAGCAAGGGATGGAGCTAAGTCTGTGGTCAAATCAGAAAGTGTCCTATGTGCCTGGTAAGACAAGCATAAGGAATAACAGAACTGAGTCTATCACTCAGAAAGCTTCAAGGAGAATGAATTATATTAGATAAGCCGAAGATTTTGACATGAACAGTAGCAAAGAATGAATGGATATGATAAAACTAGTGGAAAAAAACCCCCAAGTGTTTATCAGTTATAAATCTGACACTAGTGTTTATCAGAGCTAATCAAAGCCTGCTTCTCAATAAAATTAATGTTTCTTTTGCCCCTGAAAAGAATTTCTTTTAACTATTTCTTTTCTATCAAAGAAGCCCAAGAGTTTTAACAGAACTGTAACAGCATCTTTAGCAGTGCCTTTTGGTTGGTATGACCTTATTTGCAATGTGGGGGAATTAATTTTTTTATTGAGCAATTTGTTAAACAAAAAGAAGTAGTGGGCTGCATCCTCCAAAATTATGGTTATGTAGACCTGAAGTAGACTGAGGGAATCTATCTAACCGGAGGTCAGATGGTCCTGATAATGATGGAAATGCTGTTTCAAGACCATCTCTGAGTTGTGTTTTATGAAGAAAGGAAAGAGGAGCGATAATATTCAAATGCATGTTTAAAGCCCCCGTCATTCACACTCGTAGATGCCCATGGTACTTACTATCTGTAAATCTTCATCTGAACTATTCTCCTTGGCCAGTCTTTGAAGCAGATGTTTCTGAGCAACCACAGAGCTGGGGTTTGCAGTTTGAGGCAGGGTAGAGTAAGTGAAGAGTGTGGTTGTCACTTAACTGTGGTAAGACTCCAGCTGTCAAGGGAAGTTTTCCTGAAAATTGCTGAATGCATAGAGGACAATAAACATTCCTATTGCTTTGTTTCAGTTTTTCATAGGTTTGCTGCTGATCCTGCTCCTGCAAGTGGCAGCGGGAATCCTAGGAGCTACTTTTAAATCTGAGGTGTGTATATAGGGGATGTTTCACAGTGCTGGAAAAGTATAAGAAACTGCAGTAATGCCCTGTGGCACAAGTAATTGAATAACATTTGTTGTCATTTGCAGTACAGCCGCATTCTAAATGAAACTCTTTATGAAAATGCAAAACTGTTGAGTGAAACAAATGACGCTGCAAAAACCTTCCAGCAGGCGATGAGTGAATTTCAAGAAGAGGTAATTAGAATCTGTGGGTCATTTGGGAGTTAGATGCAGTTTTTTATGTTGGGTGTTTTTAAAGGGATTGTATTCCATGAAGATTGATAATGTTTGCATTTTACAGATTTTGACTGGTTTTGCTTTTCCCATGCTTGAGAAAAATTCAGAAATATCTGAAACCATTTTCTAGTTTCTTTTTTTTTTTATTATTATTTATTTTTTTTTTTAAAGATTTATTTTTATTATTTTTTTAATTGGAAAGGCGGATATACAGAGAGGAGAGACAGAGAGGAAGATCTTCCATCCGATGATTCACTCCCCAAGTGAGCGCAACGGGCCGATGCTATGCCGCTCCGAAGCCAGGAGCCTCTTCCGGGTCTCCCACGCGGGTGCAGCGTCCCAAAGCTTTGGGCCGTCCTCGACTGCTTTCCCAGGCCACAGGCAGGGAGCTGGAAGGGAAGTGGGGCTGCCGGGATTAGAACCGGTGCCCATATGGGATCCTGGGCGTGCAAAGCGAGGACTTAACCACTTGCGCCACCGCGCCGGGCCCTCTAGTTTCATATGTAGTTCTTTTAGCAGTTTGGAAGGTAGAGGTAAGAAGTTATGCGCAAGATTGGTTCAAATCAATAATTGCTTTAAAATTTGTCATCAAAATGATGGTGTGATTGGGGGGTCTCCTCTCCCTTCTTCTCTCCTCTCTCTCTTGCCCGTTCTTCAGTCTCTCATACAAATAAGCTTTGCTAATATTAATACTCATGATGCACCCAGTTTACATGCAGTGGCTATTTTAATCCTCACAATAATCATATGACATGGTGTTTTGGTTCAATTTGTGTTAATATAACAGAACCTGGTCCCTGCCCCTATTCAACTGCAGGACAGGCAGATGTCAGATGTCATCCTGCAACAGGTGTATGTCTGAGAGAGACATCACATGGCAAGACATGAAGAAAGAGGTTGGGGACAGTCCAGGTTTAGCCTTTCTGTAACAGTCTATTCTCATAACAATCAGTTCACTTCTGCAAAAACAATCCACTCAAGAAAAGCAGCATTAATTAACCTGCAAGGAAGGAACCCTTGAGAGTTAACTCTTTCCATTAGGCACCACCTCTTAAAGCTTCCACCCTCTCAAAGCCAGTCCACTGGGAAGCATGCTTCCAGCACATGCAGCTTTGAGAAACACACTATGATCACACCAAACCACAGGATACACTAGTCAGCTGCTGCATTCTAACGTCACAGTAGCTAAAGCAGGTAACTTTCAGAAGACAAAATGGTTATTTGACTGGCTTGCAGTTTTGAGGGATGTGAAGCCAGCATCTTTCTCAGTTCTGGTGAGGGATCTGTGCAAGTAGCAGATAGAAATGGCAGGAGTGTGCCTTGGACTAGGTGGTCACATCTCCATCTAGGAGCAAAAAGTGATAGCATGTGCCTCAGTCCTTCTAAGGGCATGTCCTCAATGATCTAAGAAACCCCCACCCCCACCACCACTGCAAGGGTCCAGCTCCAAGAGATGACAAGACCTTACAGCTGTGATCCCTGAGGACCACACCTTTAATATTGGTCATTTGAGAAACATCCAAACCAATATCCAAGTCACAAAGGATGGATAGCATCACTATTCTCATCATCCCAGTTTACAGATGAAGAGATTGAGGTTTAGAGGTATCTGACTGCTGATAAATGGGGTTGGCATTTGAGTTGAGATCTGTATTGCTAGTCTATTTACTACTTTATAGTTGCCACACTAACCCCACTCCAGGATAACCTTCTTTTTAAGATAAAGTTAAAAATGGGCTAGACACAGAAGGTATTCTACTATCTGGCTCTCACCTACTGTTTTTCATTTGGCTGTACACCCTTCCATGAAGAAGACATTTGGACTCCAATTCGTTTGTATCCTTGAGCTCCCTTGGGACATTTTGCCTTTCTGCCACTGCGCTGTCCTTCACCTTTGTCCACTATTAGAATGTACTAATTTCTTTTCTTTCAAAATCCATGTACAGAAACTAACAGTTCCCTATGAAATTCTTCCTTTTCATATCTTCTAATTCAGATTAACTACTAGTAGTATTCATTTCATGCAAGTCTTGCAAATTCTTACAATTTTAGAGGATAATTGTATAGATTATTTAACCTGACTTCCCAATTACTGAAGCATTGTATTTGTGATCTTGTACCCACCCTCTGTTTAAACATTGAAGGGTTGGGTTTAGGTGCAGCAGATTTAACCACCACTCAAGGTGGCCATTTCAGAGTGCTTGGGTTCAAGTTCCAAGCACTTGTGCCTTCTACTCCAACTTGCTGCTAATACACACCCTGTGATGTAGTAGGTGATGATTTAATTACTTAGAGGCCTTTGTGACTCATCTAGAAGACATGGAATTCTAGGTTTCAGGTTTTGGCCTGGTCCATTCTTGGCTGTTATAAACTTTTTGCGGGACAGAGGATGACCAACTGATGGGTGCTAACTCTCACTCTTTCTCTCTCTTCATGTCTCATTCAAAGTAATAAATAACATAAATACATTAGGAATAAATACTAAAGAATTGAAACTTTTAAATTTCCATTCCATTTAAATATGTCAGATGATTACTGTTTTTTTTTTTAAATTCAAAACAAATGTACCTCCCTAGAGTTTACATCATTTAGTCCTATTTCTTCAACATTTTCAGAAAACAAAGAAATTCTATGGATGCTTTCACACATGGCAACTTTTTCTTTGAAAATTGATATTGCTTCATTCTTAAAAGCTTTGCTTTTCAATTTGAAACATCCTTGGTTTCTTAAGCTATTTATCAGATGCCTTTTTTCCCCCGGAGCATTATTCAGTTCCCATTTGGATAGACTCCAGCTTGTAAAAATTCTGCTTAAAGCATTGTTTCCAATAACTGCAACCTGATAAGGGTCACTCGCTGTTCAGCATCCTCAGTGTTGTGTGTGATCTTAACTCCCTTGTAGTTGCATCCCTTTGATTTTTGTTTCTCTCCTTCTGGGTCATTTCCACTCTAGGACACAAGCTAACACAAGTTTAAAGTAGGAAGAATTTGCACAGCCTTAATCCTTAAGCAACTTTGAACCTTTCCCAGTCAGTTGGCATTGGCCAGATGTAGTAACTTAGACCCCCCTAGAAGGTTGGCATCAGCCAGATGTGCCAGAGGTCATACTTGCTGTACATTATCCCTGAAATTCAAACTCTCAGTGCTAGCTGTGAGTTCCTAAATAGTCTGTTTATTTTTGTATATTCTGCTCAAGTGCCCCCAGTCTTGTTACAGAAATCCTTCATTTTTGCTCCTTATGTTTATTAGGCTACCATTCCTTTCTCCTGTCTTAAGTTTGGTTATTTTTCTTCTTTTTTATCCTCCATGTTTTAATTGATTCTTTGGGAAAAGTGTCCTACTCTTGATTTTGGCTGGGTAATATGGGTTCTACTACCCATAGACAGAAACTGCAAAGGAGGTGCAGCTTTCATTTTTGAGTTTCAGGGAATTTCCATGCAGATTTCCTGTTGATATATGATGGAATGTTCCTCTCCTGGGTTCTTAATAGTAACTGTCTAGAGGGGCTTTGTGCTTCACAGTAGACTGCCCTTTTTATTCAGAGGTTGCACAGCTTTCCCCAAGTTCTGCCTAACTTTTTTCCTAACTGCTCCCACTGTCGATCTGTTGATCAATTATGGTAAGCTTGAGCTTTCCTGCTTCCCACCTTTATTCTATGTCTGTGTGCCTCCCTGAGGTGTGTTGAATTCCAAGTACAAACTGATCTCTGTGTATTGTGGGACCTACATTCTGTTTGAATTGGAGTATCTGCATCATTTCATGCTTTTTAAGATTACATAATCAGAAAGAGTAGGCAATTAATCATGTCTCCCACAGAAACAAAAAAAAATTGTTTCAAGATCACCCTCCTCACTAATATTGATCTTGGAACCACCTAAAATTTCCAGCTCTTTGTCATACACACACCTGTTGAGTCATGTTCTTGCGCAATTAATTCTTTCAGCCAAAGTGTGAAACTGTGTAACTTCTCAGTTGAACTTGTTAGTTTAAATCCATTGTTTGAACTATTTGTGGAACTTGAATCTGTTGTTCAATGCATTAATCACCACTCCTGGCTCCATATCACTACATTTTTTTTTAAGCAACAGAGAGGGAGAAAATGAAGAGAGAAAGAGAGAAAAAGAGAGAATGTAATTTTTTTGAGGTGCTTCTAATTTTTCTCCTCTCCTCCAGAAGTGACCAGAAATTTTGGAATGAAAACTTTATTTTTAAAAGTTCTCCTCCATTTTGAACAATGGTTCTTTAGTGATACCTTGACAGTTTCTTCAAATCTTTTGAAGCATCTTTGCTAAAATCTGGGCTATATAGAGCCGATTTAGCCCTTCTCTTGTCACTAAACTTGAAGATGAATTTTTAAAAATCTTATTTCTAAGTTTCTCCAACTTTTGTATCTTAATGTCATTTTCCTCATTAAGATAAAATAAACTTTCATTTTGACTCCTATGTTCAGAGAAGTGAGATTTATAATTTAACATTAGAAACATCTTAATAATGAGCTCAGAAGTGTAAGATTTAATGTGTTGACAATGTTTTAAATCTTTGTAATGACTGCTTCTCATTCTTTTCATCAAACAGTTTCAATGCTGTGGTCTGGTCAAAGGAGCTGCTGATTGGGGAAATAATTTTCAACAAAATTACAAATCATGTGAATGTTCATCAACGACGTTAGATTCCTGTACAGTTTATAATGGACTGTATGTGTACAAAGAGGTGAGAAAAAAATCAAATTTGCCACAAAAATGTGGATATGGTATTTTCACAATGAATGTGTGTCCAGAAAATCCAAGCGCAGCAAGTAAAATGGGAATTATGATATTAAATTCGCAGGAGTTTCCCCCTTGGATGATAATACCTTACCTAAGGACAAAAGCATGTATTAAGAAAAGGAAGTATTCATATTTCTTCTATGAGTTTGGTGTTATTTGAAAGCAACTTCAATACTCAATAAAACCATAAAACCAGTAAAAGATGGCAAAGTATATGCATAAAGTATATTTTGTCCTGTTTTTAGCGAAATAAATTTTTAAAAGTAAACTTAAAAACATAAATTTAAAAAAATAGTATTTTTACATTACGTTTTTCAAATTAAAGTTTTCTTTTCTCAAGAAATTATATAAGTGTAAAGGAAGGATTTGGTGTTTTGAGATTTAGGTTATGGCATTAAAGAAACTCTCAGTTTATCTAGTTATTTATGAAATGAGAAGTTACCATGGATATTTAAAGTCAATTGGAAAGGTGACTTTATCTTGTATATCTGTGAAAGCAGTGTTTATGTGACTTGTGGATATTAGTGAATGTCTTGTTTCTTGCTGTTCATCAAGTCATCAGGTACTTGTTGAGCACCTCCTATGTGGCAGATGTTCTACCAGATTGGGGGAATCCTTTCTTGAACACCATATAACATCTCTATTAATGGAACTAATGCCATTAGAAGAGAGAATAATATGATTAGGCAACTCAATTCAGTGGATATTGCTATTGCTTGAGTAGGCACAAGTGTTGGGCCCTCCTCTGTCTCTAATCCAGGCGGAGGACTTGACATCCTTTTGCCTGGAAGAAATGCGTAATGAATAAATTGGTATTAGTATGCCATGTGTGTACTGTAATTCTTCAGTGCCCACTGTGTGTGATATAGACTCTTCATAGGGTCATATGTGGTTCTGGATCCTCAGGATTATGATTCAAGTGAAGAGAGAGATGCATACAAATGGTCATCAATCACAATGAGCTGATTTCTTTAATGCCTAAAGATTGTTTTCAATGTTTTGTTGTTCCTGTTTAGCAACTAATACTGAAGTTAATGTTTAGAATACAATAGTGTCAAAGGGAAAATTCCTTTTACCTGAATACTTCCTCCTCCCACAAGCTCTGTTCTAAAGACAAATTGCTGGCATTAATATTGGAAGTAATTGGTATGGGAAAAGTTATTACAAGACTGTAATGTTACCGTGTATTTTCAATGTCAAAGTAATCCCACCAAAAACGTTTTATTCTTACCGTTTGTATTATTGCCTGCTCCCTGCTTCCTCATCTAATATTAATGGTACATTATCTCTAAGAGGGAAGGAAGTGAATACGGTACAAATGGATACAGTTTCAGTTTAGCATAATGAGAAAATGAGTCAATTCAATTACAGATTGCTGGAGATCTCCTGGTAAGGATTCAACTCAAAAATGTTTTTTCCTCAGATCCTAAAAAAGTCCCTAGCAGTATTCATAAAAAGGGTATGCCCTGCAATTTCACACATCATTCAGCTGGATGTAGTTTGATAGATGCACCAGTTTTCCAAAAGGAAGGCCATAAATTCAGAAAATACTTCCATCTGCCTTTGCTCATTTTCAACAAGTCTGGAAAAATAAGAAATCTGGAATGGCTATACTTTGCATTTCCTCTTACCCCAACCCTTATTTCACCAAGATAAGCTTGTTATCTCAAGGGGTGTGTAAGGAAAAATTCCTTAGATATAACTAATGTGACTCAGTAGATATAATGATTAATTTCAGTTAACCATAAGTGATGTAGAAATCTCCATTAATATTTGCTGCTTTGCATCAGACATGAATGAAGAAACTCATTACATTTAGGAATGAATGAGGAAATAACAACTCAACTGGATGGAAAAACTTATGTTATTTAACAAATAGAAATATTATGTTGGCCTTTGAACACATCAGAATGTTTTAAAGATGCTGTATTTCATATAAATTCAATCTCCACTTTTACAATTATCCCTAAAAATTAAAGTTTCTGGAAATTTTTAGGTCTAATCTGAAATGTTTTAAATTTGGGGAATTATGTGGTGATTTGAATAAATTTGAAAAGGGTAATAGTGACAACATTACATATTCTCCTGTTTACCTAAACTGATGGCATAATGGTAGATATAAAGATTCTTTCCTTTAATAACAGTGAAACATTCTCATATAATTTCCTTTCATTTTCAACTGACAAAATTGTACACATTTGTGACATTGATATTGCAAAGGGGTTTAAAAATTTCTTCTTTTGTAAATGAAAATTTGTTAGATAATTAACTAAAATCATAACCAGAAACCCTTCACTTACAGTTTCTGAAATCCCCTAAAAACCTAATCAAAGTGATATCAGCTCTAAAATGAAGAATCTGAATTTAGGATAAAATTATATTTTGTAATTTATAAACATTATAATTTGTATAATGTATACAATTTGCATTAATTAAATGTTTGATATTAATATTTATAATAATTATGATTAATAATTGATCGATAGATTTGGCAGCCAGTTAGCTGAAGCAGTTTTGTTCCTCAAGTGATTTTGAATTTGGGGGAAATATCTTAATTTGGGGAGATATTGGTGAAAGCATATCATTTACAATTTTAGATCCTATATTTAGTAGCTATATGGTTGAGCAAAATGTTTCTTCTGAGGAGTACATTTATAGGTGATTTTTAATTTGCACAAGATCAAACCAGTTGTAACTTTTTGGAGCAAGGATGAAGTAGGGAGTAGATAAAATATTCTCCTTTCTTTTTGTTGAGTGTGTTGCTTGGTAACAATGAAAGACATGAATTTATTCAATTGAATGAATAAATATGTTAATTTATATAACATCAAAATTTTACTAAAGGTGAAATTTTACTCTTTTTTTTTTGACAGACATGTATTTCCATGGTAAAAGACCTATTTGAGAAACATATTATTATAATTATTGGAATCGCTTTTGGACTGGCGGTTATTGAGGTATGTACAATCTTGCCTTACTGGCTCCTCATTCATCCTTTTGTCAGTTCATTAATATTCCTAACAAATTATCTGTGGTAAGCCAAATCTCTCATGTTGAGTAACTTAGATACCAAGTGAGCCAAATTCACTTACAGGACATTAGTAAGAATCCTCAGGATGTGAGCTATTCCTATAATTCATAAATTTCCCAGCCAACAAGAAGAGAAAAGGTAGGGACCATTCACAGCAGGTAGAGCTACTCTATAATTTTTTTGTAGCCCAGATTAGTAAGTCTTTGGTGACTGATAATCGCTGTCTCGAGATCTGAAATATAGCCAACTTGAAATAGTTTGTTTCTCTATTTTACAAAACAGTTCCAAGAGTATGTGATTTTTTTTAAAAAAAAATTTTTTTACTTGTTTATTTGGAAAGCCCAGTTACACAGAGAGGGAGAGACAGATAGATACAATGAGAAAAAGGGAGAGAGAGAGATTTTCCATCCACTGGTTTACTCCCCAATAGAAGCAAATGCTGAGGTCTGGGCCAGACTGCAGCCAGGAACCTAGAACAACAGCTGGTTTTCCCAAGTGGTTGGCAGGGAACCAAGCACTTGGGCCATCCTCTGCTGTTTCCCAGGGCACCTTAGCGGGCAGCTCGATGGGAAGTGGAGCAGTGGAGTGGCTGGGCCTCAACCCAGCATCAGATGGGTTGCTGGAGCCACTAGTGGAGGCTTCTGCCACTGCAACACAATGTCAGATCCAGTTAATTTCTCTTGATTCTATCTTTTGAAAAATGTGCCTTTATTTCTTTGTTCTACGTTCTGGCTTTATGCTAATTTAGAACTAACTACTAATGACACAGAGATGCGAGAAAAATTATATAAATACTCATATATACTCATCCATACAGTACATATATGCATATATGTTGTGGAGTTGAATTTAAAAGAAAGATTCTTAGTGCAGGCCTGAAATGAGAAAATGGTCAATGTGAGTGTTAAGCTTTTTCTTACACCCAAACTCAGACAACTGGCTATCGCTGTCTATACTCAACAAATGTACGGAAGAAGCTTCTGGTAAGTCAAGCCAGAAAAAATAATAATTGATTGGAGAGACTGATGTCTCTTGTATCGTAGCCAAATATATTGCCAAGAATCTAAATACACTGAGTAGAAAATAAGATTGTAAGAGGAATGATATATTGAGATATTTATGAAATTGGTATAGTTCATGTATTTGTTATAACTTTAGTTGTTTGATTTTTCTAAAGAAATATACAGTGAAATAACTTAATAAAAACCTTATGTGCAATAATTTATAACTGAGGAATTTACATGGTGTTAACATAAAATATGAGTATATTTTACAGTTAGATCAATTAGGCTCTGTAGATATGTCAAAGAACTGTTAGCTTTTTTAATTTTCAATTTTTTTTTTCTGTTCTAAATCTGAATCTAAAGCCTGCCTTTTCTGAAGGGTTTGAAGAGAAAGAAACTAATTTTGTATTCATTCTTGCTTTATTAGAAAAGGAGTTTAGAAGGTACTCTTCTGCCAGCCAGTTTAAAAAACGTACCCCCTTTTCCCAATCAAAATGGGTTGTTATACAGGTGGTCTAACACGAAGGCCCATCTCCTTTTCTGTTTCTGAAGTTCAAATTCCGGAAACAAAGACACAAAGGGAGAAAACTTTTCTGGCAGATATTTATAAGGGAACTGATATACCTGCAGAAAACACAGTCAGACCATTTCCTTAGAAATAAGTCATAGAACAAACAAATGACACCCTTTTCACTTACACCTTTGGCCTTAGCCTGTGTAGGCACTGGCCTTAGCCTGTGTAGGCACTGGTGGGGTAATAGTTTTAAAGGCACTTCAAAATGGTCGCAGATCTGTTGCTCAGAATGTTTGCAAAATGCTTTACTCTAGAAAGATGTGTCTGTGGACATGTTTGGAATTATCATTATTTTCACTTCAATAGCCAGACTATCATCTTTATTTGACTGCAATGATTTATAAGTTTCCTACCCCCCCTCAAATGATCAACATTTATTCTCTTTTAGTGTTTTTTAAAAAGCTGTTTGAGACTGGTAGTCATCACTGTGTAGGATAAAAGTTACGCTGGCAGGAGGGTGGAGCAGTTAAAATGAAAATTTTACAACTTTTTTTTGTAAGATTTCCTTAGAATGTTGGTCTTCTGCATACCACTTGGCAAATCTTTCTCGACTCTTAGCATACCCTATTGTGAAATGATTATCTTGTATTTGGTATTTCCCTAAACAATGATCAATATAAAACAGAACACATTGTATTAGCTGTCTAGTTCACTGATGAATTGTGGGCTTCCTTTTTTAAAGAATGTGACAATCACACATGATTGCCTTATCCCACTATTTTGCATTTTATTTTTTTCTTTCCTAATCCCTGTTCCCCAGACTCAAGGCTTAAGGTCAAAACAAAAAAGACCACGTTTTAATCCTTTTAGAACACTTTTGAGTGAACATCATTATTTTTGTAGAGAATTGGTGACTTTTGTTGTTATTGTTGTGAAAGAAGGGATATTAGGCAGCAATTCTTATTTGAATTACATTTCCAGGAAAGAATTAGCCAACAGGAGAGCTCCACACAGCAGGAACATTTAAGCTGACTCAGTGTTGATGGCACCTTGCCTCCCTCCTGCCTCTAGTAACAGGACTGGTGAAGAAGAGAACAGGTCCTCTCTGTCATTTCAACATCAAAGCCACAGTGTGGGAGAAAACCACCTGCAGAGGCAATTAGGGCAAAATTTGGGGTCCCTTCCTCTTAGATGAGCTGCATAATATGGTGGAAATTATGCCCTAGATTTTCAGCTGTGCTTTTTTCAGCTTCAAAGGAAATTCCTGAATTAAGCTATTCCCCATAGTCTAGAAGCTTTTTTTTTTTAAGTTACTTCATTTTTTTCATCCCTCTCAGCAATGCCTAAAACTACGGCAGAAGAAATTTAAGACTCCTTGATTTTTATGCAGATGATTTAAAACAGATGATCACAGATTATTCTGGAAGCAATAGGTGTATTGAACCCCCAGAGGTCTCAGCTCCCCCAGGCTCTAGGGCAGATACCCTACAGACTACATGTGTTCCAGAAAGAGGATCAAGGTCCCTGGGGAGCTGCTACTGCAGAACTCAACAAGACTCCTAGAATCTGACCGATCAGCCTAAAACCTGACTGAGAGCTCTCTGGGTGCTCTTCTGACGGAGCCTCAGGAAAAATAGTGTTTTAGATGCATAAAATCAGAACTCTCAATAGACCGAATCTTTTAAAATCTATAGTGTTCCACAAATTGCATGACAGTGACAGATGTATGCCAATCAATGTTATTAAATGAAATAATGAGGAATTAACACTGTGTATTTTTCAGTGTATGGGAAAGCATGTGTTCTTTTTAGAAACATGGAAGTTGCCACATCCATGTTCCATGGAATGACTCTTTTAAAATCCGTAGTTTTTTCTTGTTTATTTATGTCTCTAGTACCATATTAATTTTGTTGCTTTATCCTCCAGATACTTGGTTTGGTGTTTTCTATGGTCCTGTACTGCCAGATTGGGAACAAATGATTCTGCAGAAGTGTCAAGCTATCATCCGTCAAAACCCTTTAAAATTTTGTTTTAGCTTTGTGACTAAATATGTGAGTACGTGTATTTCAGATGCAACTGTTCTATTAAAATGTCTCATTTAGTTAGACCTAGGATATACTCTAGATGCATTGAATATATTTAAGAATTGAGGAACAAAATGAAAATTATGTGGATGTGTATTTTTACTCAAAATAAAAGTAACTTTATATGGATTTTTTTCTGCATCTAAATCACTTTATTCAGGTAATGCTGTGTGTAAAATGCTCATCTAGAGCCACCCAGTGGAGTAATCTTTACTTTTCAGTGACAGAGTCAGAGATAGTCAAGGCAGTGCCTCTGGGATTTCCAGAATCAACATTCTTTCCTGTGTAATTTGTTCTCAGATGAAAAGACTGAATTAAATCTGAGGCTGTGTTGATTGAGGCAATCGCTCTAAAGTCTCAGCCTCTTCTTCTATGTATGGCAATGACCATCATGATGTCTCTCTTGTTAAATATTTATTGTGGGGACAAGAATATGTGAATGCCATGTCCCAGCTCTTGAACTTCTGGTATATTCTGGATTTTACTCTGGGTCACTATAGTTATCAGTGACCTTCCTTTCTAGATCCCAGAAACATGTTTAAAATCTGCTTTTTATCAGAGTAATTCCTTTATTGTATAGCTCTAGGATTGTGCATACATCTGCATAAACACTCTCCTGACTGAACGTGTAGAACATTTCCAGCACCACACAGTGCTGCTTCTTGCACCTCCCAGTGCTGTCCTGGATTGCTGGCTCATACTGAGAGAGCTGAGTCCACACACACACACACACACAGCTCCCCAATTCTACTTGGTGACATCACATTGGAAATTCACCAACATGGAAATTGGACACTAGACATAAAACCGGAACTGGATTTTTCTCTAATTTTGGACAACTGATTGATAAATATTGACCACTGTACTGCCTCTTTTAGTAAGCAACGTCCTTAAGGCTAATCATTCTTCTGAATTCTATAACCTTTGAGTCATTTTTCTTGCTCTTGAACTTCGCCTTGATGCAACAAAAAGGTATGCCATCTTTTTTTTCAGTCAGGATTGTGTTTGTGAGCTTCCTCTGTGTTGTTGATTTTAGCTGCAGTTTATTCTCCCTGTTCTATATCATTCTAGTGGATACATCACTCGGTATCTATTCTTTTATTGATGGGCATTTGATTTGCTTTTGATTTGGGCACCATTATAAACAAAGCTGCTAAAACATCCTTTTACATGTCCTTTAGTACATAAATGTGCTCATGTTGGGGGTGCATAAGCAAGAGTGGAAGTGTTTTATACACTGTGTTCAGTTCTAACAGATTCTATAGGCACTTTTTTCTGTAATATCCAAACTAGTCGATCTCTTATGAGGTTACTTTGAAGTAGAGTGACCACCAACGAAGAAGTAACTTGAGCGAAGTGCTGGATTAGAAAAGGCACCTCCATTTTGTGCTTCCTATAATGATAAAATTAACCATCTTCCGTCTTCAAAACACCACAGTAGAAAATGTAATATTATTGTCTCTGCTCTTCCTGCCTTGTCCTTATGAGCTGGCCTCTGTTACTCTCTCCATTTTGCAGGTGAGAAAACTGAGGCATAAAAAAGTTAGGTGGTTTGCCCCAAGTCGAACAGTTAATAATTGGCAGACCTGAGTTTCAAAGGTTGAGAAATGTTCCCCAGTCCTATTGATCATGCTGGCTTTCCTATACCATATCTATCAATAAACATATTTTTAAATAATTGCCCGCTCATGTATTTTGTCTCTGTTAATATACTAAAAAATTTAGAGATGCTGATTCTTCTGTATTTATCTTTATACATCCTAACTATATTGAAGTGCTTGGCAGAGAAATGACATTCAGGGAAAATAGGACCCAGGGAGATCAATTTTTTTTAGATACGTAGCTAGCAAATGGAAGACTGGTGATTTCATCTTGATGACTCAAAATCTGCTTCATATGTCATATCTTATAATGATGTTGGGAGAAAGAGATAAAGGGGCAAATAGTAAAGTGACTCGTGTATGATGTCAGACACAAATTAGGTCACAGTGCATCAGGATTGCAAAGAAACTTGTGTCACAGCCAGATGTTTAACCTTAGTGGTTAAAATGATGACTAATGTATCTGGAATCCACATAACAACACTTGGTTTTCCAAAATATTTGTTTATTTGAAAAGGAGAGACAGAAAGAAGAGAGAGATCTTCCATCTACCAGTTTACTCCCCAAATTGTACCAGTGGCTAGGGCTGAGCCAAGGCAAAGACAGGCACCTGCAACTCCGTGGAGGACTCCCACCTGGGTGTCAGGGGATCAACTGTTCGAGTCATCTCACAGGCACATTAGCAGGGATCTGGATCAGAAGCAGAACAGCTGGGACTTGAACTCGCATTCATGCAGGATGCTGGCATTGGAGGCAGTGGCTTTACTGGCTGCACCACAATGACAGTTCATAGCACTTAGGTTTGATACCAGGTTCTAGTTTTTGGCCTCCAGCTTCCTGCTAATTCAGACACAGGGAAGCAGCAAGGATGGCTCCAGTCTTTGAGTTCCTGCTACTTGCTTGGAGGTCCTGGACTGAAGTTCTAGCCCCAGGCTTGGGAACTGTTACAAGCATTTAGAGAGTGAATCAGTGGGTAGACGTCTCTCTCTCTCTCTCTCTCTCTCTCTCTCTCTCTCTCTCTCTCTCTCTCTCACACACACACACACACACAGAGTGAATGCGCATGGCTTTCAAATAAACAAAATTATAAAGAAAAGAACTTGTATCAAGAAAACAGAAACCCTGTACTATTTCAAGCAATTGGGATATAATTCAGTAAATTTCTACATTATTCAACTTGAACTGCTGTAACAAAAATATAATGGACTAGGTATAGTAAACAACAGAAATTTCCTTTCTCAGAGTTATGAATGCCAAGGACAAGATGATCAAGTTACTGTCAGATTTGGCTCCTGGTGAAGGCTCTTTTTTGGGTTAGCAGATTAACTCGTTTTTCTGTGTCTTTATATGTGTGTATGTCACACAGAGAATAAAAACTGTAGTGTGTCCTCTTATTGAATTAAAAAATGTTATAAAAATTGTGGAAGGCATAAGTGAAATTCAGGAATCATAAGCAACCATATAAGGTTTCTTAGAGTCTTTCTGTTAGGGTTGAAGGACATAACATTTAAGGACAGAAGGACTTTAGAGCACTTGTCTGTAATGGAGGACCGTTGGTAAGATCTGGAGGCATTTCTGATTAGTGCAACTAAGGTACATAGTGTGTGGGTGTTGCAATTGTCTAATGAGCAGTCTGTTGAACTGTGGTAGAAAGGCCCTGCTTCAGAGGAGCATAGATGAATTTTTAAAAAATCTATCTTAGGAGAAAACAAAGTTTCTGTGACTATGGAAAGTGAATGGATTGGAGTCCAGGGGCACCACCCTAGAATGGAATGTGACACTTGCTAGTTTTGTGACCTCTAGAACTCAACAAACTTGATTTTGTTTCTCTTCAAACAAACATTTTTATCAAGAAGACATTTAAATTCTCTATCATTACTCAGTCTGTCTGTGTACTACCTTCTTAAATGTATTTAGTTTCCTGCTTTTTAAATATCAATATTTATTTGCTTATGATAGTCCCCCCAAGTTTCCATTTTGATCTTTAGTATTGAAGGTGAGTAGGAGGGAAGTTCTTATTCTCTCAAAGGACATTCAGCTCAGTTTTAAGAATCAATTCATTCTTTAAGTTCATGTGTCCACGATCAAGCCATCCTAGAAAATTATATTAAATTAGGTTAAAATAGTTAAGAATCCTAGCAAGAACAAAATAAAAAAAAATACACTCTGGTCAAATAGGTAATTCAGGATAGGTACAACTATTTCTTCCCATTCAAAAAAAATGTAGAAATTTTCTTCATGATGCTTAAGATTGTATAATGGTACTAACACAAGAGTATAAACTTTATATTAAAACTTGGAAATGATTCTCAAATCTGCCATTGTTCATTCATTATCATCATCATCCTGTTTTATCTCTCACAATCTCTCCTGCGAGGATTATTCAATAATATTTTTTTAAGATTTATTTTATGTATTATAAAGGCAGAGTTACAGAGGGAGAGATGGAGAAAAAGGCCTTCCATCCTATAAGGAGAAAAGAAAATCTCTACAGGGCTAAGGTGAAATTACATAATAATATGAAAAAGTTATAGAAGTCATGCTACAGTTAGTAGTCAATTTAGCATAACAAAAGCACCGTCACTCTTAGAATAATTGCACATAGCCTTAGTATTTAATGATGTGCTTATCTAGTGCTGTTTTTGATTATGAAGCATTTTGATTTTTTGAAGAATGTTTTGGGCTATCGGGAAGTTCATCTTCAAAGCCCTAAGTTTTGAAATGGATTTTGACAATAACTCCTCCCCAGAATGATAAATCCTTGGCTCAGAATCTCTTTCAAAGGCTGCTAACCAGCTATTATGTTAAGCAGTGAAACCAGAAAGAAAGAGAAGGGACTGTGGGCCTGGAAATGAGCCACAGAGAATGACAGACATTAAATGAAAGGAGATATAATCAGGAATCCTTGTGATGTTGAACAGCACACTTGGGGACAAGTGGAGAGACAGCCTGATCAGCTCTGCTGGCAAGGTGAGACCCAAATAAGTCATGTCTGTTTAGCGCAATCTCAGCATCGCTTGTGGCAAAGCCAAGAGCAATAACTAAGTCAAGCAAGCACATCGCTGCACCTGGCTCATGATATCTCCAAGAGTAATTTGTGACATTATTTCAACTGATTCCAATAGAACATGTTGTTCTGTGCAGAAATTGTCATTTTGGAAAACAGGTTAGGGTTCTGGCAAAACTAGAGATGAAAATGATCAAGAATGCTATAAACAAGAAATTATTCGCAATTAACTGCCATGATAACTGGAAATCAGACTTTAAAAATAGTCAAAATATGCTTAATATAGAAGCAGACAAGTCAAAAAAATTTTTTGAGAGCTAAGCCCAATGAATGCTCAGAAATAAAATAAGAATCAAATGCGTGTAATGAGCGCAAGATTGTAGCCAGTACTTGCTGAACTGAAAATGGAAGTCTCGTGGGTCTGGATGCTGGACCTGTGGCTTATGAGCTGGGCTGTGGGCCTGGCTCTGTGTGATGCTGGCTAACTCCCCAACACCTTTTTTTATCCTTGTTAATTGTCCCTCA